CAAGGGATAGGGGGGCGACAGGGCCACTGGAGCGACATCTAGGGAGGGGGTTTGACAAGTGTCGGTTGGGGGGGCGTCGGGGCGGCGGCGGCGGCAGGTAGTCAGCTGTTGGGAGGGAGAAGGGGAATCGGTTTGAAATTGGGCTTTAGGGAGTTATTATTTATATATTTTGTAATAAAGTGTAGACTCATTTAATTATAAATTGCTTTTTAAGAGTCGGTTGCTCTGTTAGCCAAATAAATCGCCAGAATCAATTAATTTGGCAAATCGTGATGATGCTTCATACACTCCATGTTGATCGGTAAAATATCTTAGAAAGAGATATAATAACAATATTTTCTCAAGTTTTTTGGAGGGTTTTTTGCCTTTCAAATGAAATACCTGGAGAGGGGTTCGCTTTGGGTTAGAATGGGCAGAAGGGCACGAAGGTCGATGGTAGCACCACATTAATGAGGGGGAATTATGCATTTAGAGGAATAATAGGTTAATGCATCTGCAGAAATTAAATGTTTCATCATCAATTTTAAAAAGACAAAAAAAACAGAAAATGTCTCATTTTGAGATGATGCTGTTAATTATTGATGATTGATTGATATTGTTATTAAATCTATTTGTCTAGATTTAGACTGACAATTGATGGGAACAAAATATCTGAATGAAGGAGACAATCATCACAATTATTTTCAAGAATCACAGCTGATGCAGGCTATATTTATAATAAATGCACGATTAAATTCATTAATACTATTTAAAATTATCTGATAAATATATTTTAAATTCTCTTTCAAATTTCTTCAAGTGCTGCCCCAGCGTCAAAACACTCAACTAAATTCTCAAACGTGTTCTAACCAGTTGTATATAACCTAAATATTTATCCAAGCAAAATAGAGCAGCAATCAGTCTCATTGTCCCTGATTGCACCCCTCCCCCCAAATAACTTGGACCATCAACTCCTGAAAGACAATTGTCAACGCTTCAAGGACATCCCAAAGTCATCCCAGGAGATGACAATACAATGTAATCACCAGGAGACATTACAGCATCAACCACTGGTATATCTGAACAGTTTTGAGCCCTGCTCGAATTCATTACAAAATCTAGCGCAAAAAGGAAATTATTTTTCCCTCGCTCTCTGTTTTTTATTTTCAGAAATAAAAATATTAAAAAAATTGTTTTGAGGGCAACACTGAATTGTCCCTCAGATCAGATCAGGCACCGAAATATGAGCGACTGAAAGTGGGAGAGAATAGATTATTGTCGGAGTTTTATTTGATTCTGAATGGGTGATGATGAATTTACTCAATGAATCGGTGATTATTGTCGATTCGCCGGAGGTCACGGGGACGATGGCGAGAAAAAGGAGGCCTGGGGCGAAGAAACCCGTGACGAGGTCGGACACCCTGAAAAAGCGCTCCCCTGGGGGAAAGGAGGGGAGGAGTCCCTTGAGAACGGTCTACGAGAGCTTGACCCGGAAAGTCACTGGATCTTGGTATTTTTCTATGATTCTTTTATTAATTTTCCATTGAGGATTTTTGGCGGGGAGAGCTCCTGATTGGGAATATTACTATTATTAAATAAAAATTAAACCATCCATTGAAAACCACCAGCGAAGCTCTCCCCCTCCAAAGCCCTGAAAACCAATTAAAATATCTTGTCATTTTTCTCCAACTCCTCTCAAAAAAAAAAACTCACAAACCAATGATAATCCTCAAGTGATGTCATTCCAATCACCGTGAAGAGGAAACGAGATCTGAGCAACAGTCAGTTGACCCCAAAGCTCAAAAAAAAATGTCGAAAATCCGAGGTCTCAGAGAACCTCAGAGGTGATGAGTCTGTCATCGTCCTCAGCGATGACGACGACATTCAGACCCTGCCAGTTGCTCCAGGTCCATCAGACATGATTCCCCTGGTGGAACCCCCTGCCGGGAGCCCTAAGACCTCAGCCACATCCAAGCCCCCCAACCCCAAGAAGACACCAAAGCGACTGTCGAAGAAGCAGCGGCAGATACAGAGAAAGGAAAAGCCCCGAAAAAATGGGGCGGAAAAAAGCCAGGAGAGGAATGATGACGTCGAACTGGAGATCGTCTGGTCCTCTGAAGCCGTCCCCGAGGACTCGCCGAGACCAGCGGAAGATAATCCTCCGATCAATGAAACGACAGAAAATCCCGGGGGGAATGACAGTTTTTTCGTTGATGTCGCTGGAGATACGTCCTTACTGCTCATTGATTCTCTGGGCCTTGACAATAGTCATCCTGATGAGAAATTCAAGGTGAATAAGAAGCAGAAGAAGACGAAGAAGAAGAAAGAGGAGCAACCGGAGAAGCTCAGGGAAATTATCATTGATGGATGCAACGTTGCCATGGCGTGAGTAAAGAAATGTTGAAAAATATCTGACCAAGGAGAACGCTTGATCGATTTACCTAAAAATTGAAATTGAATTTTCCCATCTGTCTCACTTAGGGCATATGAAATTTAATAAAATTCTTACAGACACGCCAATTCCAATGGATTCTCCGAACAAGGACTGAAAATTGTGCTGGACTATTTTCTTGAAAGGGGTCACAAGGTCACGATTTTCATACCTCAGCACAAGCGCTGTAAAGATCGACAGTTGATTGAGAAATGGAACAGGGAAGGCATTGTTGTTTTTACACCTAGTAGGAAAGTTGCGAATAAGTTTATCACACCGTATGACGACAGGTAATAATATCGATTATACTAGGGAGTGACTTTCTATTCAGTGAGTTTTTTCACTTGCCGATCGCTTCTTCATTTTTTTCAGGTACATTCTTGAATACGCTACCAAGTGCCAAGGAATCGTAATATCATCAGATCAATTTCGTGACTTGTGGACGGAGAAGCCGGAGTGGAGAGAAACTATCGAGAAACGATTATTGGCACCAACATTCGTCGGTGATTACCTCATGTTCCCTGATGATCCACTAGGCAAATTTGGGCCCAGACTCAATACCTTTCTCAAATTTTAATCAGGAGACAAAACTACTTTTTTGTACATAATAATATCCTTTTTATTGTCCTATAAAATCGTTACCTTACACTTTCGTGATGTATTTCAATATAAATATGATAATACACAAGAGGATATATTTTTTCCTCTCAAACAAGGGGAAAAGGATTAATTATTGAGAGAGAGAAAGAATTGACAAATTCTTATGTGTACATAACCTCACTTTATTTCATTTAATCGGTTTGCCGTGCATTTACATTTCGTATGAACAGGCTATAAAACATAAAGTAAATAAAGTGTTTTTTTTGTTTCTTTCCACTGAAAATAAATAAATTATAAGAAATACATATGGCTAGTTTTTATTTACCTCTTGAACTCATCGTTTACAAGGCGTATTATCAAAGGTCAAAGGTCAATTCACCCTAAAAATTGGGCTTCCAACACCACTTTCGGCTCTTCCTAATTCCCTCCATGCTCTCCTGCGCAGATTCCCTAGCTAATCTTTGCACAGGTGTCGCCATGTGTCCCTCTAGCCTGGCGCTGGCTAGCACCGTATCATGCGCCATAGCTGAGTTGAGGAGGCGACTTTTTGAAAACAACTTGCTCAGCACATAATTGTCATCATTATCAGCATTCTGATGATGAATGCTCGCTTGCTCGCTTCTCTCACTAGCGCCACTCTTTGCCAGCCTCCGCCCTATCAACAAGTCCACCCTCTCTCCCTCAAACATGGCGGACATTAATTTCTTTCTCGTGATGATGGAATTGCCGAACAATCGATCTGACTCGGTGGAGGTGCCGCCATCGATGGGTTCATTGAGATGGAATAGCTCGGACAAATCTGAAGTCTGAAAGAGTCTCCTCTGCCGAGGATCATCAAGAACTTTGTTTGACAGGAGGAGTTTGAAGATTTGCCGATGGTACATCTTCTCCTCGATCGTTCCCGCGCTGATCAACCGATATATCGTGACGTTTTTCTCCTGACCGATCCGCCAGGCCCGCTCCTTGGCTTGGGCGTCAGTGGCCGGGTTCCAGTCGGGATCGTAGATGATGACCCGATTGGCCCCCGTGAGATTGACCCCCAGGCCCCCGACCCTCGTCGTCGAGACGAATACGAAATAAGAGTCATCTAGATTGAACAGCTTGATGCTCTTCTGGCGCTCGCTGATGGCAGTGGTGCCATCTAGTCTGAGGTACTTGTACTCCTCCTTCTGGAGTAGTCCCTCCAGAATGGCCATCATCTGGCGGCCCTGGCTGAAGATCAAGACCCTGTGGCCCTGGTTTTTCCAGATCCTCAGGAGAGACCGCACAACTGTCATCTTTCCCGATTTCCTCCAGTGTCCAAACTCCTCCAGGAGGACATTCTCGTCAATGTCCGGCTCCTCCTGATCGTAATAATAAAATGGCACACTACACTCTGGTGTGGTATAAGTGAAGAGGTCCGGATGATTGCAAATCTTCCTCAAGTCTGTCACTGCCATTAGCATCCGTGCCCGTCCCCGGCCGTCGGTCATGCTCCTCTCATGGAGGATAGTTTTGACCTTGTCCGAGGTGAGGTAGTTCTTGTAGAGGTCCGTCTGCTCCTGTGTGAGACTGCAGAAGAGCACCTGCTCGTTCTTATCAGGCAAAGTAACATGATGCTGCACATCGCTCTTGGTCCGGCGAAGCATGTACGGCGTAATGGCTTCTTTGAGCATGGTCGCCACCTGCAGGGCCGTGGCCTCCTGCAAAGTCGATGCGTTGGCATAACCCCCCCGGGTGATGGGCGTGGCGCAGTGCTCGATGAAGGCGTCCAAAGTGCCTAGTTTCCCGGGGAGGATAAAGTCGAAGAGCGACCAGAGCTCCTTGAGAGAATTCTGCATGGGACTTCCGGTGAGTATTAAACGGTGAGGCGTCGAGAGCCTCTTGACGAGCTTGGTGATCTTGGCCGCGGGATTTCTGATCTTGTGGCCCTCGTCGAGGATGACGTAGTGCCACCTAAAGGGGATTAGGAGATCCGAGTTCCTGAGGACGCCTGTGTACGAGGTTAGGAGGACTCCACCTCCGCTTGTCTTGAGAGACTCGAGGAGGTCTGCCGAGGTCTGCGTGCCGTGGTAGCTACCCGATTGGTGGAGGCTTGCCACACGAAGGGCTGGGTACCACGAGTGAAAGTGCTCAACCCACTGCTCGAGCAATGTCGCCGGGCAGACGATGAGGCTCGGCCCCAGGCCGCGGAAACGACCGCCGTCTGACAACAATTCACTGCAGTCGAGAGCCGCCAGAAAGGCGATCACCTGGACGGTCTTCCCCAGGCCCATCTCGTCGCCGAGAAGACCTCCCAAGTTTCTGGTGTGAAGCTCCCACAACCAGTGGACGGACACCCGCTGGAAAGGATAGAGACGCTTCCAGAGGGACTTGGGTAGTTTAAAGAGATTGGAAATGGTGCGCAACGAGCTTACAGGCGGGTTCACCGCCGTTCTAGGGAGTTTCGAGAGGCGCGAGTGATAGTGCTCCTCGTCACCGTCGTCTAGGCTTTTTCGCGAGGGATTTCGTTTGCGTTTCCGCCGGGGGGGACGGGACGACTCATCAGACTCATCAGACGAGGGAGGAGTATATTCACTCCCCCCCGATTCACTATCTAGCCAATTATCTATTGGATTTTCCGAGCTTTGGGCTTTCACAACTAGAGCTTTTTTACAGCATCTTCCCGAGGTCTCTCCATTTTCTAGTTCTAGGCTTTTTTTTTTACCTTTTTCGGTAATTTTTTGCGACTTTTTGAGTTTTTCCGTGATTTCTCCTGGGCTTTCCGCCGGCTGGGCTTTATTACGGCTGAGACGAGGCTTTTTTGATAAAAAATTTTTGGATTTGACAAGTTTTTTCGGATTCTGCTGTTTGCTTTTTGCTGCTACCTCAGCCTGTCTTTTGAGGTATTTCTCGAGGTCCAAAAGACCTGTTGTCGCGTTGAAAGTCCTAGAAATTTTAGAGACCGTTTGTTGACCAGAGGTCATTTTGGAGATCATTTTATGATTTTTCCCATTTATTTATTTATTTATTTATTTTAAAAAATTCATCTTCCCTACTTACCCAGTGGTGTCAGCGCTCGAGCATAGAGCATATTTCTTCTTGGCATCAGCCTCGAATGGTGTAATCTCTCCCAGTTCCACTTGCCTCTGAATATTTTTCCCCTCATCCTCAGGGTCAAGTGCCTCTTGCTGCGATAATCCATCGAGTTTCTTGGATAACTCCTGGTGAACATCTTGTTCTGTACGAATTTCAAGGACCTTATTCGAACAAAAAAAATCAACTATATCATTTTGCACAGAATTTTGAGACCGTTCAAATGAGAAATTCAATAAATGACAACAATCAGCCCATTTTTTAATATTATGGTTGTTCAGCAATGATGACATAGTAATCCCACCTGAGAAAGTCCAGCAAATGATTCTTCAGCCATTCTTCATCACTCAACACAATCATTTAATCATTCTTATGTTTTTTATTAATCAAATTTGACTAATTGTTTGTAATCTCACGTCATTGTTTCGTGTGTTGACACATGTTCGTTGTAAGGGGGGATTCACAATGAGATGTCGCTTCTCATGAAAACGTGCCCGAACCAAAAGGAAGAAAGAAAAAATAATAAGAAATAAAATTCAACACAATTAGTGAAGAGGACCGAGGAATGAGGATTATATGGATCTGAATGGAATGCAAGAGAGAGTCGATTATTAACTTACAAGCTTCCTATACTATATAGGTATAGGAATGGACACAGTTGAAAATTAAAGGGAGTGGAGACTAGTGAAAAATTAGGCACGGCCCTGGTCAACTACCGCATTCATCAAGCTTCTCACCTCGGAGCGGGCCACACAAAACGTGGGGGACTGACTAGGCATTAATTAATTTTTTACATAATAATTAAATAAATAATGAATTGAATTATTCATCGAGTGGCACAAGTTCTAGCCGTAATTTGGGATTTTTTTATGAGTATTTGAGGGGGTTTGTAATAGTCCTCACCGATGGATCCGCAAGTGGTTGAAATGCCCCGGAGTGGGAGTGGGGGTAGCAATGAAACAAAACCTTTTGGAGTGCTTATTGGTCTCTCGCGCGGAATTAATATATACCTATATAGTGGTTAGTGGTTCATATACTGTTTTTCCAGCGCTAAATCCTCATCTATAATAATAACTTTCACCTGCGATTAAAAGATTGTAATTGAGTCGCATCGAAATGTCATTGTTGAGGTTTTTCCAGGGGTGAGAAAATTGGTGGTGTGGCGAATCAAGATTGGGGGGGGGAGTGGGGTAGCGTAGAGTTTTTGAGACGCCGGAAGAACAAAAAAAATTGTGGAATTAATTTTTCAACGAGTGCCTGATGGCACTCGAAGTTAATTGACACAATTGAGGTCAATTTGGTATAAAGTTGTGCAGCAGTGTGTTTTTTTGTGGATCTCGGGGGAGGAGTGGAGGAGTGAGTGAATACTGCTGGGGGTTGTGGAGCAGGTGGTGAAATTTTACAAGTGACGGGATTTCAGATTATGAATGTGAGTAAATGTTTTTTTTTACAATAAATGAGAAAAAATTAAATTTGTTTCTTTCGTGATATCTCGAGATTGACTGAGTTATTGAATTTCCCTTTTTTTTTCATTTTGGAATAGTTTTTTTTTAACCTTTGAAATGAATTTTGATTCATCGCAAAACCGAATCATTGGAACAGTCTCTTTAGTATTTCAGAATCGACAGATCCTTACCAAAGTGATTTTTTGGGCACTTTAAAATGAGACGTGACTCTGATTCGTCAAAAGATAATGATGATTTACAGATGAGGTCCCTTTAATTCATCTCCCGTCCCTCGGAATTTTGTCCATATCATTAATTTTTTTTTAATCTAGTCTTGATTTTCATTTGTTTAAGGTAAAATCTGCATTATTCCGGAGGGGGAACGTAACTATTTTGAGAATACCCCGTTCCACATTATTCTGGCACTAATGCCAAATACCTAGGGCATTAACAATTATATAATTCCGGGGAAAGTTGGGTTTTCGTGCAATATTTGCAATTTTCAACAAAAAAAAATATATATATATTAATTATCATTAGGATGCTCCTAATCGATTGTTTAATTGTGTATCTGCTAAATCAGAGATTGTGAAATTGTCATTGAGGTTACAATGTGAAACCGAATGTCGAATTTCCATTATTGTTAAAATCATCGACCTCTATTTTTAAGTGTTTTTTGAGGGTCTAATTTCGGTGGATTAAAACATAACATTTTTCTGAATGATGATGAAAATAATCAAAAGTTGTCAACAATTAAACACACATTTCGTGCGATTACTTGGGGATATTTTGATGATGATGGAGTTGAAGTGTTAATCAAGTTTTTTGAAGCTCTAGTGAAATAGCGGAAATAATGGAATGTAATCAGAATCTTGGATATCTCCTGAATAAATTATGAAAATCAATTGTCATATTTGTCAAAGATTTTGAAAATATCTTTAAAATGAGATGAGATGATGGTATGAAATTGAATTTTCAATTTCACTTGACCAATTTTCAGATGTTGGAGTTTTAAAAACGTAGTCATCTTATTGGATGCCTATTTATTTATTTATTCATGTTTCGACTTTTTTTTTTAATGGTAAAATGATTGAATTGATGAATTTGTCATTGTTGAAAGGTTATCGATGGGGATGCCCGACGGTGCCACGGAGGTGGTTGACTCACTCTGCTCATTTCATTGATATGATCGAGAGTGTGTCTAGACGAGCGCTGAGTGGCTCCAGTGGGAGCTACCACGTTCGAGGAGCCGAACTGGCGCGCGACAGAAGATTAAAATCTTTATCAGCCACTGTTGTCTTTCTCGATGATACCCAGCACACATTCCAGCTGGACAAACGGGCCAAGGGTCAAGCACTCCTTGACCTTGTCTTCCATCATCTGGAGCTCATCGAGAAAGACTACTTTGGACTGCAGTACGCGGAAAGCGGAAGCAATTCGTCAAATTGTCCTGATATTATGGTGAGTAAAAAGAAAAATCATTTAATAACCCAAAACTCCATTCCAATCATTTGTCTAATCCTATGGGGTTGTTTTCTTATTGATGATTCCAGCGGTGGTTGGACCCTTCAAAGCCCGTGAAAAAGCAGATAAGAAGTAAGGGTAAAGATCATGCTTCATTAACCCCAAATAATTAAATTCACTAGCGAAGTTGAAAAACAAGAAGAAATTAAAATTAATTAAATTCAATTTGCTGAAGACAGTTTTTCCTGTTTTGCTTCACTACTGGATTACCTCGACAAAAATGTGTTTAAAAAATCATTTCATCTTCCTAGGTGGACAATTTTTCTTCCGTGTCAAGTTCTATGTGTCAGACCCTAGTAAACTTCAGGAGGAATATACCAGGTATCAGTTTTACCTCCAAATAAGAAGGGATATTCTGCAGGGAAAGCTGCAGTTGCCTGTGAGCACAGCCTGTTTGATTGCCAGTTATACAGTTCAATCAGAACTGGGGGATTATCACCCTGAGGAGCATGGGCCAGGCTATCTCTCCAGGCTGCAACTCATCCCTGGACAGACTGAGGAAATGGAGAAAAAGATTTGTGAACTGCACAAGCTTCACAAGTATTTATTCACTTATTTATTTGTCTGTTGATTTTTTCACAAGAGAAATTCACTTGCTTTTGCCATTTTTTACTTTCCAGAGGACAACTCCCTGCTGATGCTGAATTCAATTTCCTGGACCATGCTAAACGATTGGACATGTATGGAGTGGAGTTACACAAGGCAAGGGTATGCACGTTAATTGTCGTTTGTGTTTGAGAATGGAAAAAAAAAAACAAATTTATGTACACGTGAACCTTTCTTTTTTTTTGCTTATTTGCTTTATTCTGTGAGTGATTTCATAATCTAGTATTCATCTCGTAAACGAATGGTTTTAGAAAAAAAAAATCTTGTTGAAACAATCAAGTGCATTGGATTTTTCAATAAAATGATATATTTTTTCTTTCAGGATTCAACAAACAAAGAGATCCAACTAGGAGTAACGTCAATAGGTCTCGTTGTTTTCCAAAACAACACAAGAATAAACGTATTCTCGTGGTCTAAAATAGTGAAGATATCCTTCAAGAGAAAGCAATTTTTTATTCAACTTAGAAGAGAGCAGTCTGAGAGCTATGACACCCTCCTAGGCTTCAACATGCAAACGTATAGGAGTTCAAAGAACCTCTGGAAAGCGTGTGTAGAACACCACACGTTCTTCAGACTCCACAGTCCCAAAATGAGGCCGAGGAGATTTCCCCTGACCCTCAGCAGCAGATTCACATACTCAGGGAGAACGGAGTATCAGACTGTTGAGGATGGCAAGTACAGGGCTAGGGTTGAGAGGACATTCATCAGATCCCCGAGTAAACGACTGATGCATGGGGTCCAGGCACCAATCGTCGAGGAGAAGGGAAAAATTGCAATAGCACCTGCACGACCACCAAGACCTTATGACAATAAAGTGCAGTCCCTAGGGTCCAGGGAGCCACGACAGGCATGGGGGGAGGGAAATCCAAGTGATGAGTGAGTGATTAATGATAATTTTTAAGTCTTGTCTAGAAATCAAATATTCGATTTGAAATAATTGTAAATATATTACTAGAGAAAATTTTACTTATCAGATACATCTAGAATTGTTTGATGAATGATTTTTTCACTCCTGTGATGGTCCTTTGGTCTCTATGTTGCATGATTTTTTTTTTACTTTTTTTTTTTGTTTTTTTTTTTTTTTTTTTTTCGTTTCACACAGTGAGGGTGGTTTTTTGTCCCTCAGAGAAGAGATCAATGGATCACATAGCCAGGGAGGAGGAGCTTTCTCACCGGTTTTAGGATCTAGAATTCTCAGTTACGTGGACGATGATACCGCTGTTGAGAGGAATATTTATGATATACCTGATTACAGTGAACCTACTAGTTCACCAGCTCCCCAGGTATTTACTTTTGTTAAATTGATTTTATTCAATTATTATTAAGGAGTTGGATTTTTTTCATTTGTTTTAGGTACACGATGAGGGTCTAGTAACGATCACTCTCACTCCAGACGAGCAAGGACGCTTTGGCTTCAACGTGAAAGGAGGCCTGGACCTTGATATGGCTATTTTGGTGTCTAGGGTGGCTCCCAATACACCAGCTGATCGCTGTTATCCCAAGTTGAATGAAGGAGATCAGGTAAATGATTGAGAAATCTCATTGAATGGAAAATGTTTTTCAAGACAAAACTCTAAACTCTTTTTCCCAGGTGGTCTACATAAACGGCATCGACGTGTCTGGAATGCTTCACGAGCACGTGGTAAACCTCATTCGCCAGTCTCGCGATACTGGAAACGGTGAATTAAGCCTGACAGTCCGTCCTTACGCTCTTTACAACGCCCTGGCAGGCACAGAGGATGCAATAGAAGAGGAGCCCCCATACAGATATGTCCCAGACGTTCCCCATGTCACCGTGGGGTCAGACGCTCTGACCCAATCTATGCTCCTCCTCGCTGATGGCCTCGCCAGTGGAGCACTGATCGCTCAATATGAACAGCTTTACAGGAAGAACCCAGAGCTAACATCCCTGGAGTCGAAAAAAACAGAGAATCAGAACAAAAACAGGTATTTTCTTCCTACCTACCTATAATGAAATACAAATGAATAATTATCATAAATTTGATCAAAGTTTGTTGAAATGAATTGAAGCTTAAAAATCAACTCAATTCAAATTATAATAATAAAAGAGAAAATAATACATCAACAGGTACAGGGATATTTCTCCTTATGACGTGACTCGAGTAATCCTCATGGGCTCGACAAACGGTGACTATATAAATGCCAACTACGTGAACATGGAGATCCCCGGCTCTGGGATCATCAACAGGTATATCGCGACCCAGGGGCCCCTAGTCTCAACAGTCGCTGATTTCTGGCAGATGGTCCTGGAGGCTGGAAGCACTCTTGTTGTCATGCTGACGACTCTTGTTGAGAGAGGTCGAACCAAGTGCCATCAGTACTGGCCGAATGTCAACGAGTCTCTCACCCTTAGAAATTTGACACTGACCTCGACCTCAGAGAAGACTGAGGACTTCTTCGTTTTCCGAGAGTTTGTGGTGAGGGATACCAACACTGGGGAGGAGAGGGACATTACTCATATGCAGTACTGTGGATGGCCTGATCATGGGGTGCCTGGGGACTGGAGACAGTTCACTGGCTTCACTGAGAGGGTCAGGGCTGCCAGGACTGGGATGGTGGAACCTGCTGTCGTTCATTGCAGTGCGGGAATTGGAAGGACTGGGGTTCTAGTCCTCATGGAGACTGCTCTGTGTCTTATTGAGGCCAATCAACCCGTTTATCCTCTGGATATTGTCAGGGCTATGAGGGATCAGAGGGCTATGATGATTCAAAATGCTGTGAGTTTCCATTTTTTTTTTTTTTTATCTAATCCATTTCATCCTTATTTTTACTTTATTTATTTTTCAAAACCTAAAATAATTTCTTTTATTGTTTTTTGCTCATCATAAATAAATAAATAATTCATTTTTATTGCAGAGTCAGTACAAATTCGTGTGTGACGCTGTTCATAAAGCCTACACCGAGGGCATAGCGAAACCACTATTGGAATTTTCGAGATAAAATCAATTGGCCACCAATTCCCAATTCAGTATGCAAGAAAAAATCGTATTTAAATTTTTATTAATTAAAATTATCTCGAGAACGAATGAATTTATCGAGAAATATTGTTGCACATTTTTTTAATAGAAAAATTAAATTTTCAACAAATAAAACTTGCTGGCATTTTCTCCTAAAACCACTCGTTAATCAGATAATTTCATGATTAACAAGATGGGGGGAAAAAAAAAGGTGAAATTTATAATTTTATTTAAAGATAAATATCTCCAAAATGAATAGTTTTAGGACATAATGTCATCAGACATTTACCTTTAAACGAAATAACATGTCCTACCACTTTTTCACTGAATTATTATTCTTTGAATGTATATGAAACAACCATACATCATTTTTTAAAGTGACAATAACGCACATTACTACGAAACCTCCGCAATTATATATATATATACATCTAATAACAGTTGTAAGAATTGTGAGGACAGTCTCGTATCCTCAAACAGGCAGTGAGTTAACTTCTCCAGGAGTGTGTTACCTGGACGTGTGATAGATTTGATATTGAGGAGTTTTCAATTAATCAAGTATTTTTCATTAACAAAAAGATAGAAAGACAAAAAAATCCCACCATAATCGTAATTTTTTATAGTATAATTTTTGCATGGTGTCCTTCCAAAACTGAAGTGATTGGCAATTATTTATGCGATGGGGAGAATTTTTATAATTAATTTATATGTAAGTACCTAGAGGATACGTAGAATAGTATTTTTACCAATACCCATATAAATCTGTGCCACAAATTCGTCGGTAGCTAACAACTGATAAATCGTCCAGAGCTACAATTAAACGTAAAAACTCTAAATTTTTATACTTAATGATAGTCATAATTAATTGGTGTCAATTTTATTTTTTTAACGATATAAACTATTCAAAATTCATCCCAATTTCATATTTTTAGAATGAAAAATTAGAGATTAAGAAATTAAAAAGGGCGTATTAATAGCTGTCTAGTCGAGTGTTTAATTTGTACTTTTGACTATCATGAAAAACAAAAAAATAAAAATAAATAAATAAATAAATCGTTTTATAATAAAAATGAAGAGTCATTGTGTAATTAGCATAAATTGAGAAGCTTACATAACAACAGTATATTCTCTTTTTTTAATTAACTTTTTCCTCTTCTAGGAGACGAAATTTTTCGTTTCATTTCTTTTTTCTGTAATACATTGCGTTAGGAATAGTAATTATTGGGGTCGTCCGTCCCCCTTCTTCACCCAACCCCTCTTGGAGAGAGAGGGGAGAGAGGGAATTTGAGAGTAAGAGGATCTACACGTGTCCACTTGTCAGCTTCTACCTCTCTTTCGGTATAAAAGACATCAGGCAATGTTGGATTATTTAGTCTTGTTTTTGCAACGCAATAGACAGCATCATTATAATCGTAAGTGATTTCATTATTTTCCTGTTAATTAATTTCGACATTTTTAATTGTCATTGTCAACATTTTAAATTAAATTTTTATGTAATATTATACATTTTTTTTTTCAATTGATTCAATTATTAGACAATTTTTGAGTTGAAAAATTATTTTTATCGTTGAAAATAAATTTGACTTTATTGAATTTTTTAATGAATTTTTTTTTTTTGTAAAAATAAGTTTTGGTTAATTTTTTTTGTTAATTAAAATTGTATGTTTTTAGATGAAAGTGTTGACGTTAGCAGTTGCAACACTGTTCCTAGCAGCAGTAACAGCCTTCCCCCAGCAGCAGAAAGACGGTCAGATTTTCAGTTCTGAGGCCATAAGACAGGCGCAGAATACTTACCTCATCCCCAAGGATGCAACAATTCAAAAAGTTCAAGAGGGAATTGAATTGGCGGCTTACGAATCCATTCCCGGTGACCAGAAGATCAATCTCTTCGAGATACTGGGGGATCACGTGCCCCCAGAGGTTGTGAACAATCTCCAGGGTCAGATTGATCAGATCGGACGTAATTAATCATGAAGAAAATTAAAAATTAATGAAAAAAAAAAAAACAAAGAAAGAAAAAATTAATTAGTGACGACGATGAAGTGATTCATCTAGATTTTCAATTCTAAACTCTCCAGATGTTGGACATATTTTTTTTATAATAAAAAGAATTTTAAAAAGTTATTTTTTTGTTGTTTATTTGGGCTCCAGAGACACTCATGAGGCCACTGATGAGTCCAAAAGGCAATGACACTCACTTTCACCGGTAAAAAAGTGGGACGAGTGTTTAATCATCGATGATGGGTGAAGTCGATAACTTGATGTTTTTTTTGCACCTGAGGAGTTTATAAAATACATTATACCGCCTGGGGCACGATGAGACGGAGAAAGTTGAACGAAGGAGACTTTCACTTCCTACTTTGCTCATACATAATTTGTGGAGAATAAGGGAATTGTGAGGATATCCAAGTCGACAAATTTGTCAATTCTCAATCTTGAAAATTTAATGATCATTAAATTTTAAAAATTGATTGCTTATAAATCATCACTTATAGAAAATTTCCTAACCATTCAAAAATGGTCAATCAAATTCTCAAAAATAACAGAGAATGTAAATCCTCATTTGGTTTGAAAAACTTATTAACTTTATTGATAATACAATTAAGACAAAAGTTTCATGAGAATGAATTATCCATTTGACTTGGCTTACAATAATTACTTGGTCGTAAGTGATTGTAAAAAAAAAATGATGGCGAAGGATTATTTTTGTACATTAAACTGAGAGCAATAAATTATTCAACTGATTGATTTGCTACTCGGTAGAGATTTCTTTTTTTTTTTATTCTCGTGATAGTCCTGCTGATAAAGTCTAGTAGAGTGAGAAAGTTTTCACGCCGCGTGTGATTGCTCTCTAGCACATGCCATTTATTTTCTGAAACGAGATTTAAACAACAAAAGGCCAATTATCTTCGTTATTTCAATGAGAATTTAAAAAACTGAAAAATTGACAAGTAAAAAGTCAAGTTTTATTCCTTTTAAAATTAATGAAAAAGCTTTAAATGGATATTTTTAAATTCATTTGAATAATAATAAATTGGAACCCATTGTATTTTCAATTTTTTTAATGTTCATTACCTGGATTTTTTGGAGCTTTTGCGCTCTCCACTGTCCTCCCTGGACCGTTTCTTACTCGAGGATGATGAATGTGACGACCGATGCTTGTCATGTCTGTCACTCTTCTTTGGACTGCTGTGGAAATATAAAATGATAATTGATAAAAATGACGAGAAATTATCATGGAAAATTAATGGAACTGGCTAGTCACCTGTGTTTGGACGACTTGGAAGGAGACACTTTTCTGTGTGAACCCCCACTCCTCGTTCGGTCCGTTCTTTAATGATTAATAAAATTCCCCCATAAAATTCAACTATCTAATGATCATTATTTCGAAAAGTAATCAATGCCTCAAAACTGTTAATTTTTCATTTCGTCCCCCCCCCCCCCCCC